GAAATTACATATATTTAATAAGATTTATTTCAAAATAATCTAACAAGTGTTCCAAAATATACCTCCACTGACACTTTAGCTATTCCTCGACATTGGCTTTGCCAATCTAAGCATTGGTCTTGCATGCTCCAGTCTTTTATACCCCACTTAAATGCCATTGGCAATATCTAATTTGCAAATCCCTCCATCCATGTCAGTGTGCCCTCTATCCTGACACTGTATATAAACACCTCACTCAGATAATGTAATCACTTTTTCTCGACAAACCATTGGTCATGTTTTTTCTGATGAAGTGCTGTTGTTCACTCCATGTTTGTTGGAATGCTTTGGTGTTCCACCCCCAGGTGGATGTTATTTTTTTTCAATTCTACCGACTAACATCATTTAATTTTTGATATGTGGGGTTCCAGGTTGGTTCATGTGATCACTTTGAACCAATCACATTTTGTTGTTTGTATTTGTTTGTTTCTCATGTTTGCTTTGTGATGCTTCCTCCCCCGCAAATTGTTGGCAAAATATCAATGGTCCCCACATCAATTTGTCGACAAATGGAGTCTCCTACTGACTTCTACCTTGGTCAGTTTGATTGCTTCTGTTCCTTCTGCAGGGATACTTGGTGATGGTGTCCCAAAAGCATTTATATTGCGAATTGCCATCACTTGTTTGCTTTTTTTTTTTTGGCCTCATGACATTTTTGGCTCTAATAGCTGAATAGACTCTTACCTTAGTTACTTCAGGTTCTGGTATCGAGGTTGGTCTTTCCATTCAATTCTCCATTATCCTCTCATCCTGTGGTATTTCCACCTCCACCTGACCAGTGGGGTCTGGACTTTCGTTTCATGGCTATCAAAGTTACTGATCACAGGGGTGGTAGTGGCAGTTGATCCCATTCTTCTGGGATTTTTTGTTTCTTTTTACCTGAGACAAGGAGAGATTCAAAGATGATTGTCTTTCTTTCTCATCTCAACCCATTCTTCATTCTTCCCCAGTCTACAGTGGAGTCCTTTCTCATCCTACATTGGCATTCTTCACCAGGTCCATGAATGCCCAAGTTGGAAGTTGCTGAGGTACTTCTCCACATTCTCATAGTGAATTCATCTTGCCTTTAGCTATGTTTTGTATACGGGGATGAAGTTTTGCAGTTCAGGGATCTAGCCTTTGGTCTAGCATCAGCACCATATGTCTTCTGTTGGCTCAGCCACCTCCCATCCAGCTCCAGGCTATGGAATGGGTCACCAGGCTCTTACTTACAGGGATGGTTTTATCCCTGGGGTTGTGGGCTTCCTTCAAATCTCTTAATTTTTTCAGATGAGTGCACATGCTATCCCTTCAGTGGTCCCATTGCAACTAATGAGTCTAGAACTTCAATCCACTGAATTTTCCAGTCCATTTATTCTGGGGCAACATCTTAGTTTTGAGTGGTGGTTGGTTTAGACCAACTCTATCATTAGTGTGTGTGTGTATGAATGGAGGACGAATCTTCAATCTGCATCCATAATTTCTAACTTCTTGCTGTCCAACAGGCACTTGTGCAAGATCTAGATCTCTTGCAGGGGAATATCCTCATGAGTCATTTCATCAATTCCAGTGGTCTCTTAAATTTGGTTCTTTCTCTGTGGGATTTATTCCAATCATATCAGCCTCCTGGCTTGCCATTTTCCTTGGGTGTTGTATTTCATAGTAGATTGTCAATTTCAGTCTTCACTTTCTTATGATCAAATGGATTTTCCATTGTGTGGTTTTCTGATAGATTTGTTCTTAGTTTGGGCCTCCAATGATAGCTTTTGCCACTCATTTATACTCAACTACAAGCTTTGGGGTCTCCACTATAGATATTGCCAAGGGCATTTAAGTTGGGTTTAAACGACTGGAGCATGTGAGACCATTGCTTAGATAGGCAAAGCTAATGTCAAGGAATAGCTAAAGTATTATTGGAAATACATTTTCAATTTGGGAAAATGTTAACTTTAATTCAACATCTGTAATAATATGGGCATGTCTGTGTGACTACCATAGCACCAAAAGGAAAGAACCTAGAAACCTGAAATTTTGCATTCATACGCTAGCATTAGCAACAGTACACTACTTTGATTGCTTAACTCTTTCAGCATGGGCTTGGCCCCTGAGACCAACCTCGTAACCATTTTGTGCTTGTTATAGTTTTCATGCTATACCTTTTAAATTAGTAAGCGAATGTTAACGAAATTTGGCAGTTTATCAGTAAACAATACAATGCTTTAATACACAAAATATCAAATTTTTTTATTAAGTCTTAAGGTTTGTAAAGCAATGTTTCTCTCATGCCTTTTTTTTTTTTTTCTACTATCTTGCCTATCTATCATGCAAACTAATTTTCATTTTAAGATTAAAAATACTTTTATGCATCAAAAAATTTTCAAATTTTTTGAAATTATTATAATGTCCAGATAGTTATCAAACATTTCTTAAAAAAAAACTTTACATTTTATCTGTTATTTTCAATAATTAATCTCTGTACAGGTTCAGTAAATTTGACCAATCTCACAACCACCATAAAAAATTAGAAAATAAACAGAAATTGTGCCTCTTTCATTCTAGAATGAACTCAGATTATAACACAAAAACATAAATCTCATAACATAATACATTTATATATATTTGTTATTTTTATTATATTGACCTTTCACCTGTGCCTGGCTAACAACACATAAATTACAATGATGTGGCTCACTTGCACTCATGTTACCGTATCAAATAACATAAAGGTGACCTTTGGTCTGTACAAAGTAACTTGTCTTGGCTGTGTTTTAGTCGACTAGTATTTTGTAAATTACAGTCACATTTCAATTATTATACGTTATGTATGTATATAGATAATTGCTATTTTGAAATAAATTCTTAGTTATTTTTCACAAATCATAGAACAGTAAATAAAGAAATAAAGCAAACAATTATCTCTTCTATTTACAACCTTTGTATTGAGTTGCTGTTTGATGTAGGTTGCTAAGCCTTAAAAAATTTTGCACGTGGAGGCTATGAAACATTATTTTTTTTTAGGTTTTATATATACATTGGAATAACTAAAAATCATAAAGTACTACATCAATACCATGGAATTCTACTATAATTCATCAAACTTAGTAACTAAGCTTTATTTAGGTCTAAAAAATATATGAAATTTCGAGCAGACTAAAGACGCAACCTACCTCATTGAAATCTTCATTCAAAAGAAAGAGATGGTGCTAGGTATGTTAAAAAGGCTGAGAAAACCACTAGGAGGACATTCTGAGC